GTTCGTCAGATGTTTTTTCTTTTACATCTTGCCGAGACTCGGATTGCGTTGGATGTAAAAATTCTTCCATTAAACGAATAGACGTTTTCACGGCGGTTATTTCATCTTTTGACAACTGTGGCAAGGACAAGTAAGAGAAAAACCATCCACTCCGCTGAAAAGAGCGCCTGTAAATTGATAAAACTCCAAGTTTGAAAGTAATTTGTTGAAAACTAACGAAGATATATCTCCCCAAAGTCTTGAATTTTAGAGACGTTTGTTTGGTGGTGCTTCAAACTTGGCAGTTTTACCTACTGATTTTAAGGTGCTCTTTCCATACTTTCCAGTGGTGTCGACGGATTTTTTTCCTAACTGGTCTATGTCTAAAGTTGAAAAATCCGTGGAGGGTCTATTCCTTCCCATCAAAAAAATTTTTGAGAAAACAAGAATTCTTTTTTGTTTTTAAAAATGATATTGTTGGGGGAGCAGTGTAGTCTAAGGAGGATGGCAAACGGGAACCATAAAGCATTCAACTAACAAAAATGCTGTAGAAGGACATGCCAGGTGATCTCTATTTTTTCCTTAAATATAGAGGACGAAAAACAACTGGCTTGAATATTTTATTGCCTGTCGAATTTCTGAGACTACGAATGAAAACCTCGAAGAAATGTTCTATTAAAATTGAAATCAACTTTAAATTTGTTCTAAAAAACATTTACAGCAGTTTTTAACATCTGCCTTTACGCCGTTGAAATTGGTAAAAAAAAAAGCTGTGAACCCGTGTAGCTTTTCCCTTCTTAATGTAATAAATTAACCACGTAATTCAATATCAATCCTACCAATAAAATTTAGCACTACTCACCAAGTAAATATAATTATATTATTTCAGTTTCTTCCTTGTGTTGACTACCGTTTTGATTTTCATGACAACTTCCAGAATTCTATTAGTCAGCTTTTCTAAACCTAAAAGAAGTTTATTTTCGACGGGAAAATAATGTTCATAGCAAAAGCTAGCAACCCCGCTACACATCCATGTTTTGATAAAAAAGGAACTGATTAGGGCCTACTTTACACTATTGTACGACGTATTTCTACTTCGGCATACTTAATGAGGTTGAGTCCAGTTTCTAATGACCTCTATCCGTCTGTCAAAAATGGCAGTTTTGAAAGTTCCACACCATAGTAGATTACCTAACAGTTTTTTTTAATAAAACTTTGGGATAAAAGGGAACCGTTACAGTTTTAAATTTTTAAGGAAACTCGTTTCTCCAGAAATTTCTGCATCATTCTGTTTAGTCTAAATCTCTGGGATTTTTGGCTCACTGGACTCCGCCCTTTTACTCGTAATCCCCGAAACACAAACGCGGCATCCTCAAACATACAAGAAAGAATTAAAGTTCATGGTCTTTATTGTTATTGCTAAGTAAAATGCCTCTGTGGTCGATCCAAGGAAAAAAATTAAATTGTTCTGAAATTGGAAATACACTAACGAGAGAGGGCATGCATGTGGCCGCCAAAAGAGATCGAAAATGACTTTTGAATCAGCCTTAGTTCACGGGAAGAAATGTCCCGCTGTACCACTAGAATCAGATTTTAATTAAAAATTTCCTTCTTTTTTGTTTCTTTTCATGAAAGCCTTTTTTACATAACACAGGAATTCAGAGGGAGTAGAACTAATTTTTTTAGGAAGTTTGGATTTGCAAGTTTTATTCCATATTTTCAAAACCTCAACAATTTTTTTTTTAGTTTCTACTCTGAATAAGAAAATTGCATCTTATCTTTTTGGAGTTTATCTCATCAGTTAATAGCAGTTTTCATTCCTCCAGAAATTGATGCTTATGGTCAGGTGCTTTTCAGAAAGTAATTCAAGGCTCAATGGAGATTGAACAATAAAATGTAAAATGACAGTAAGGGTTTCCTTTCCACACCAAAACTGATAATAAACGTGAAACACAAAACAATACAATGTAAATGATTTTACTGGACACATTTTAGGAGATGAGAACTTGTCCCATTTTTTTAAATTTTATCATATGGCTTCTTAATTTAAGGCTAAATCTCTACTCATATAAAAAAGACATCTCTCTCCCACCTTTGCGTCATGTTCAGAACTTTCTATTACTTACCACTTAGCCGGAACAATAATTTTCCAATAAAAATAATTGCTTACAGCGTTTTGCGCAATTATCAAATTATAATCAGGTTTTTTTTGACATCGTGTATGAGGCACCACATAAAATGAGTTTGATACTGAAGGTATCTTACTGCCTGAAAGCCGATTTTCGTCATAAAAAAACGATAAAGTGCTTGAATATTTCAGTTTCAGTGTTAATTTCTAATTCTCGTTATCTCAGTACTTGCATGACCTGTCTCATTGTATAACCACGTTTCCGTCTGTTTTTCGTTTCCATTTCCTGAATTCAGTAGATGTATTATATACCTTTTTCAGAAAAGAAAAGTGGGTACATCCTGAAGAATTAACACATTTCAGGCTTCATTTGGTGAAAATCTACAAAATAGCACGAACGGCGAGTCAGTTAGCTCGCAAACAAGGGCGAACGGGGGGAAACGAAAGAGAGAAATACACGCGTGCGTTTTATTTGTATTCCACATCTGTGTATCTCATCGTCAAGCACTATGATTAAATCAAAGAACAACTTCATATTATTTAATATATACCTGGGTACACTTAATGAACAAAAAGATGGAACGTAGGCGAACCTTCACCGGAACTTCATAATTTTCATTTTAATGTTTTCTTTTTTCTTTGGTATGATTATTGAGTTTCCAAAGAGTTAAGGCGCGATTAACATATCATCAAACCTGACGATAAGCTAATCCTGTGGAAAGGATCTTAATCCATTGCGCAAGAACATCGCCTCAAGCATGTCTTAACCAGTGCTCATTTTTAATAAATTGTAAAACAAAACCAGTTAACAAGGCGCTGCTAAAAAGGTAAACTGAGCACGAGCATCATCGCAGCAAACTCTATACAAGTAAGTTAAAAATTTCTTTTTCGCGACCTTGAAAGGAAATTATTTAAAAACTACATATAAATGACCTTTTCGTCCAGATAGTTGGGTTAAGAAAAAAACCGTTTAGTCAGTATATACGTAGTAAGCTGTAATTTTTCAGTAAAGTCTTCTGTTGTTTGAACAGTGATAAATTAGGAACACAGAATCAGGAGATACATGTATCTTTGCAACATAAACGGTCGACGGCGGTTGAGCCGTGTAGAGCTGACAAACTCTTTGATTCCAATGTACAAATAATTTTGATTTGGACTATACGTAGTTCATATTACAAAACGAAAGAAACTTGAAACGGTACCACTTAATTGACGAAACCTGCAAGTCAGCGTATTTGGACTGAATATTCCCTCCAAAACATATATTTTATATATACCACGACCCCTTGCTGAACTAATGGCAGCTAATGCCAACCTTACGATGAAAATACAAAGTGTAGTATATCTGATCATGAATATCATCTTTAACCACAACTTCAGGCGAGTTTTCTTCTGCTTGTGATCAACAGTTTAACTTTTAATTTTATCACTGAGCAATTATTGATTTCTGTCGGACGATGGGTGACTTTTTTTCAAGCTGGAGACTGAATTCGGGGTAGGCTAGAAGACAAAGCAAAATGTACGTGCAGCAAGCCGAAGACGTACTCAAATTTGAATTTTTGCGAATTGAAAAACCGCATGTCGGCGGATGAAAAGCGAAGGATTACCGTTTATAACAGGCGTATATGTACTATCTTTTCGTTCCATCTTGCACGACATCTCTTGGTATAATTTTGTTTCGATTGTTACTTGGCCTAAAATGCTTCTTTATTTTATTTAAGATATTAACCAAAACGCAACAACGTCTGAACAACCTCAGCTTCTTGGTGGGAGTTTGAGGAAAACTGCCATAGCAAGTAATCTTTGTTCTTTAAATCAGAAAGAAATTATATCATAGACAGTTTAAAAAGCACTTTTGTTGATATATTTGGACAGTTAACAGGCTCTTGAGATTCTTCGAACATTGTGTTGAAAAACCAAAACTACAAGAACTTTCAACAACATTTTTATCATTTTTTGTTTCTAGCTTTGCTGTATTTTATTCTGTATTTTAATCTTATCGTTTCGTCGACTTTCTGAGGACTGTCGTATTGGATCCATTAAGTCAAAAACAAAACATTGCGTTTAAAGAATAATAAAAGAAAAAATGAAAATAAAACAAATGCGCCTTATGCAAACTTTATACACCAGAAATTTCAACCAATGAAAGAAGAGGTCGATTCCATTTGTAGATGAAAATTCAGGCACATTTTTGGAGGAAAGTTCCCGGAAGCCTAAACCGAAACATGTGAAAATTAAAGTGTCTAATAACTGTGAAATCCAAACACCCTTAAGGTAGTTAAAAGTAAAAAAAAATGAAAGATACTAGAATTCAAGGGCCTGAAGTTTATTTTGTATTTTGGGTTTGGATGTAGTGCCGCTTTTTCTAGGTCTGAGCCTCTCGAACAAATCATCATTCTTCGGAATGTTCGATCAGCAAAATGTCACAAATTTCTTGGTCAGAAGGACGACAGAGCACTTTGAAAGTGAATTTCCCAAAATGAATGTGGTTAACTCTTAGGAAACAAAAAAACTTAGCATCTATAGAACATGAAGGCTTTTTTCTTCTAAACACCTTTTTGAGTTTGAGGTTTTAAATGAAAGGAAGCCGGCGCATCAGTAAAACCTTTACCTTGTAAAAGTTTTTTTGGGACGGCTCTTTTCAGGAGCCTCCCCACCCCCACCCCCACCCACTTTTTGCTGTTTAGCATGCCAAAGGATGTCACCAACAAAAAAAAAATGCGAAATGAGTTTGGGCGGAGACATCATTTAGTTCCTTGGAAACACGAGGGCGAGCCAAAACAATATTAATATCTCATGACTCAAATTTGGTGTAAGATTTAATGCCATGACGTTATATGACTTAAAGTGACTCTGGTGAGGAGGGCCTTCATATTATTGTAATCAGTTTATCTGCGTCACTGTGATCAGGCAGATTAGGCTTCCCACCAAAATACTGGCGAATTTCGGTATTGAATGGTCATGACGCGAGGTTGCATTGTAAAACCCGAAGAAAACCAAAAGTGAGCGAAATTAATTCGGGTATGGTTATGGTTGTTTTGCTTCTATCTGTTTGTTTTTGGGTCGTGAGTGTGTTTTCTTTTTTTCACTCGAAGCTGCGGAAGGAAAACCAGAGTAGACAGCCAACAAAGTATACTTTATAAGTTCTTTACGCAAGCGTATGAAAATTCAAAAACACCCATTTCTGTCTCTCCTTTTTCGAGGATTACGCATGAAAGTGAGCCGACAGATATAATCCAAAAGTTTTTCGCATTATCGAAATCTCCTCAAACAATAGCAGAGATTGTTATTGTTTCTAGATCCATTTACATTTATCGACACAAGTTTGCTTTGGCTGTTAAATTTGGACGTTAACACAGTTTTTCACCACCATAATAAACAAAAATCGAACGACGAATAGTCATAAGATTCAGACCAACGACTGCGACATTTTTTGGCTATCAAAATGCAAGGTACGTGAGTTAATGGTGTTGAGTCGGTTACAAATCTACACGAATTCGGTGCTGCATTCACTTAAGCCTTAAACCTTCATCGTAGAGAAATAACTAACGACTCTCTTTTACTAACTTCTCAATACATATAACTGATGTTTTGGCTGAGAGTGAAGCATATTTTTCAACGGATGGCCCATTATTTATTTTTGCAGCATTTCTTACACCATTCTTTCCTCAAATGGATAATTCGTAGATTAAATTGTGTGCTGTCCGCACGCAATATGCACAAATATTAAAAGCTTTTAACTCATTTTATGACTATGAACGATTTAATAAAGTAAATTTCAGTTGAAATTTCGAGGAAGTCTCCATACGCAGTGACACTTGTGTTAGACAATGCCTTGAGCAAATATAGAGTAATGTAAAGCTATAATACTTAAAAAAAAGTCACTGCCTTGTGGTTGGCGATTTATCCTTTAAGAAACCTCGATGCATTTTAATTACGTTCTAACCGCTCAGATTGACAATAAACACTACTGAAAAAGTTTCTCTTTACACATGTTTCGTTATACGTTCATGTGTTTCTGAATTATTCTATAAAATCGATCATTGCGGAAGAAAGTCATTCACAAAATTTTCCTCGTGCTAAAGTTATATGTTGATTGTGAAAGAATTAATAATATTTCGTAGCAATAAACATATCTATGTAGCAGTTATTGGATTCGGCTTCGTGTTATCTGAAGAATTATGCAGATTGAGGAGGGTGTTATCGGCGGCCGAAGAGGATAACACCATCTTAGAACTGCATAATTACTCATATCACACGAAAGCCGAGTCCAATAATTGTTCTATTATTCATTCAAAGTAATTTATATTTTTAAAAAATGCCAACCCCGATCTTTGTTAAGTTCCGGGCTCCTTTGTCTGATCTTTCGCAAATTCAGAAAATGGAGGGATAGTGTGGCAGATATTCCTCAAATAGCAGTTGTCGCATCCGTTGTTCTTGCTATGTTTTTGGGCACGACGTTCGGCCATTTCTTCTTCGCAAAACGTGTTAAGTTTTCTGCTATTTTCACTAGTTCTACCAAAACAGTTTCCAGGACTTTTTGGTTGCCGTCCCTTTTCCTGGCGATACCCTGTACTGTTGACGTCATTTTACCCGATATCGCAAATTAGTATTTACCAAATCAGTGAATAGCAATTTTCGAGCGTTTTGAGTGGCTGCCGTAACTCGGTATATCATTTGGCTATTCACTGTTTTACGACCGGAGTACAAATGGCATCTCGTTTGGAGACATTTTCGAAAGACGAATTTTGAGCGATAAATGAACTAGTCGTACAAACAAATACCAAGAAAGTGACGAACTTTGGCTGGTCAGTGTTTACTGGTAGGTAGAAAATTATTTTCATGCTGAATTTGCAACAAAATCGTAAAAATGCACTTGACACTAACCCGAAATGTTTGTATTAAATTGTAAACAAAGTTCCCTCTAGTGACTTTTTTAATTTTCAAATAATTACTGGTTTTCATTTTTATCCAACTGATTTGATAAATAATAAAACAACTATCTCCCTCAGGGTCGGTGAACGGCGCTAGATTTATATCTCGATGCTTCGCGTCTCGGTATATGTACACACCACTATTCACCACCCCTTCGGGGGATAGTCGTATACTACTTCACAATTTGGTCAACACTACATAGCTAGTTACGAAGATTTAACTGGGCCTCATCAGAGACAGAGAAATATTTTGATTGAATGCGTGAATAAAAATAATGATGATGATGATGATGATAATAAGAATAGTTACCGAACCGAATGGTACCGAACTTTTTCTACTTCTAAGTATAACTTCTCAAGTGGTGAAGGTTACGTTATGCTCCCTGTACTACTCATAATGTAGACAGCATTCCAAAGTTTTATACTGCGGGATAATAATAACAAAAAAATTTTTGGACGTATCCATGATATTGCTTTCGTATTCATCGCTATTATTGCTCTTACTGTTGCTAATTGCCTCAATTTTATTTCCAGAGTTTCCTCTACTAAGTTAGAGCTGCTGCTCTTTTTTTAAAAAAAATTGTCGATATAAATTCATCTAAAACACAGATTTTCGGGTCTTTATTAACACAAAGCGCTGCGCATGTCAAGAGAGCAGATGAGATCACTAAGTAAGTAACGAAAGAAATCTTGAGTAAATCGCTTAGTAAAATTTTCATGTTATAACACAGTTTTGGTATTATCCATGTGTTTCGATGGAATAAAACAGAATAGAATAGTAAAGACTTTATTGCTTTTTGTGTCTAAGTCCGCTTTTTTACCTTTTTGCAATAAAAATTTTTAAAATACGCTTTCGAGACTGCAATGCGTTTCATTACAACCTGGGTACGAATTTAACTTGGGTGACTCGGGAGATGTCAAGTTAACCCCAAGCCTTTCAGTGCTTGGTTAATTCTAATGCAGGTGAAAAAATAAGCTTCAAAAAAAAAAAAGGGAATCGCAACTGAGTTATTAAGGAGGTTTTAAAAAACCTCCTGTCATCCTGAATCGAACATATTTTTCAACTTGTCATATGTCATGCTAGCACGATTTTTCTGACTACAAAGTTTAAAATTATACCGGTAAATTTCAGCCAATATCTTGGGGAGCTGACAGAGTAAGATTGATTGGGCGGTGCAGGTAGACAAAGGCGGCAATTTCTTTCACAATATGTGTTAGTCCCTAAAGCTTCGTCTAGGCCGTTTAACAAAGCTAAAACAAAATTTCTATGGTTTGATTTACTCAGTGGCTGTGGGCTTTTGTGTTTAGCATAATCAACTTTGCATAAATTACTGTAAACTAAAGTTCAAAGCCGCAGAAAGCCATTGGGCCTAGATTAAGGCTTATTTCAAGGAGACTGAATATCAGGCGTTGTGTGTATACTGATCATAAAAGAACCAAAAATTAAACTCGCACTGTTTAGAGTCACGTTCAGTCGGTGCGACGATTTCTCGAAGGAATAAACCGGACCACCTGTATTGTATGAGAGACCAAAAGATTCAGCAGATGGAAACGTGTCAAATTATTATTTTGTTATTATTATTATTGTTGTTGTTGTTGTTGCTGTTTTTCTTCCTTGCTGCAGTTAAGCGTCGAAAGCACTGACGATGCATGTCCATCAACGCATCGGCCATTTTAGGGGTAGCAGAGAGGGCACTGGGATCTAAAATAAGCAAATTCGGAGTGCGCAACATCTACGTAACATCAAGTAGTTTGATCAGACATATCGCGACAGCCAGGATTTTCCAAGAAATATAGTCAATATGGCTTATCACATAGCTAAATGACTCTAATGCAAACTCAAGGATCTTTTAGAGAAGTACACTTACAGAAAAACACGAGTGCTGTCATGGGCAAACTGAACTAAACGTTAGTTTGTCTTGGCATGTCAGAGAAAGAATTTATTATTGCGTGCAATTAGAAGGTGGGTCAGGATTTAATTTAGCGGATTAGTTTTTTTGCAGTGTATATTTTGGCGTTGAATATGAATTAAAACAGACAAAGGATCTTTACATGATTCATTTGCATGTGATGTTCTAACACAACACTTACTGGAAGGTTTCTGATTACTCAGATAGCTAAAATTACGAAACCCCAATTTGACAAGTTTATATAATCGAAAAGGTGTTCATGACTTTGAAGAGTACTTTAGTCAAGCTGTGAAACTTGCTGTAAATCTATTTTATTTTTCTTGGCAAGAGTATGAATTGTTGATTAGAATGACCTAAGAGCGTCCTAAAGTTATGCCATCCAGGCTTGCTCTTACAGTTCGTCTGACGTATTGTACAAACAAACTATGAGAGCGTCTTTGACAAAGCAATTTTAAAACAACTAAACTGGGTTATTGACCAGTCTGATTTGCCCTGAAGTTCATGGAAATGGGTTTCAGGGAATTTGTAGACCATCGTTTTTGAAGGTTGTTTAGGTTAGCGTAGGTGTCTTTGGAAGTGATTTTTTTTCTTAGAATTGGACATCTTGAGCTTATAAAGATACGTTACTGTACTCCACTTTCGATTAATTCTTGGCTCAATTACCAGCTTATTTTATCCTTTTTGTTTTTACTGTTGAACTTGACCGGTTGTTATTCTTGTTTAAGTAGTCAAATGACGATTGACGTGAGAGGAAATACTTTCTGCGTATTTATATTCCGACTGACAGATTTAAAACAAGCGCTAGCATTGATTGGAAATACACGTGAAAGAAAAACAAGCCCTTTAGGGATCCTTGGAATGGTGAAATTTACTAGCTTTACTTTATTGGAAGATATATAATTCCTTGTGAAGACTAAACATCGGCGCACTGGGAGATTTACAATGAAAATAATCAACGCATGGTTGTCGCCTTTGATGGTCAAAAGATAAGAAAATAACATAACTTGCGCATTCCAGAATGCAAAACGCGCTATAAGCATGTGGTATATATACATAAGAATCATTCAGCATTTGGAGAGTGTTTTTATGCGGATAAAAGCTAAATGACGCGAGGTAAGTTACACTGAAAATGATTTAACATGGTTACTGTACCACTGTTCCGACTTTTGTATTTAGACCAGAAACTAAAGAACCTGTAGAATGGTCGTGTTTTGCTTTCGTAAACGCCTTGGCATGGCATATAGGCATATTGTTAGCAGGAGTGGAACTGATTGTAAAGTGCGACATAGTACCTAGAGACCCCCAGTTACTGGGATACACGAACAATCAAATACTGTAGTAGCTTGATCTCTTCGTTAAAAATATATTATGTACGGAAGTACTTAAACACTCTTTGACTTTAAATAGGACAAGACTTGGGATGAAAGTTAAGATGAACTACAAAAGTAATAGAATTGATAGATTCGTCGAAAGGAAGGATTATACAAAAAGCTATAATTTGCAACGTTATGCTTGCTTATATCACCTTAGTCGACTTCTTTATGATTGTCTTTTTTAAGACGAGGTTTTCGCGGATAGCAGAAAAGACCGTGCTTTCACTCAATTTTAGACATTCCTTTGCTATACACTTAGTTTCTCACCAGTCAGGTATACAAGGGGTCAGAGAAGTTTCGTTTACATTTAAAACCAAATTAACATCACTGTGGATGTTGAAGCACGTAGCGAAAGAGTAATTACTTCCCGTTTCGCTGAAAACGAGGTTTCCAAGTGGCTTGACCTACCAGAAACTAAGAAATCTTTAACTTTCAAGATGGTCTCTGTCAGCCAGTCTTTATAGCAATGTTTCTTACACGCAAGTGGTTCAAAGATCGTTAATTTTACCCCAAATCAAGTCATGTTAGATTTACAGTCTCAGCAGTCTGTTTGAGTACATTGATTTGTCATTCTTTCTTCTCTGATACATGGTGGGAATCCGTGTGGGAATGATGTGACCAAAAAGTTCGAGAAGCTTTCATCGGTAGGTGCGAATACTAGGATTAATTACATGAAAACAGGAACTGAGCACTTTGATCAGAAATCTGTCATTTTCCAAAACATAATGCGATCAATTTAATGAAGTGAGTGATTGCAATTTGTAATCTTCAAAGGGCATTTAAATTAGGTTATCAGTTTTCACTCTTATAATTTGTTTCAACTTCCAACCACACTCTCAGTCAAAATTGTTGGGACACTTTGCTGTCTTCTTGCCCTCCCAATGTTGATGTGCAAGATTTGGTGAGTTAACCGCGATAATCAACATTGGGAGGCCAAGGAGAGGGACCAGAAGTGAAAAAACAGCGTTGGGTGAAAGTGTCCCAACTATTTTTGTCTGAGAATGCATGCAGATTGTATAGGCTAAAGTCATAACATGTCTAGTTCTGTTCTGTTGAGAGAGAAAACGTTCCCGAAAAAGGAGCCCTTATTTTCACTGCGTCAAACAATGTACTCTGCATGAAGCAATAATTTTGAATATTTTTTGAAGCACATTTTCCGTGTAAACGTGAAAAAACATGAAAAAGATTCGGAGCACCTTTCTTCAATGTGCAGCTTGTGATAGACCTGATAGACGATCGCATTGCGTGTACGTCTAAGGTTGTACTCAGGGTGGACATCTCAGTCACCTCATGTCCCTGTTCCATTCACGTCTGAAGTGGCTCTTACCTGTTTCAAGCAGCCGACATCTATCCATTTTATTTACAGTGCAATGTGACATTACGGATCAATTTAATCTCTGTCAAAATCTATTAATCGAAAGTTTCCAAAACAAGGTGTCTCAATAATATAGATTGCAGCTAATATAGAAAACCCTCTGATAATTATTGGGATCTGCATCAATAACAGGTGTCAGCGGTTAGATTTTTTGTGACAAAACTAATAAAATAGTCCATCTTCAATTTTCGATTGAAATGAATCGCGCGCCGCTCTCACTTAAAACCGCACAAATAACCACTAAGAATCTAGTGGATATTCATTGCATTAATTTGACCTTTCGGATTTTGTGCTAAAGAAAGAAAATTTGATAATATGCTCGAAAAATTTCATATAAAAATATGTTCCTCGTCTGGCAAAGCTCTTTCTCTCGAATGATTATGATTACACTTTATATTGCTGCCGCCATAAGCAAACAACCCATAAAACCGTGGTTTTGATTCTCTCAATCTAACATAAACAACCTGCTTCGTAAATAAGAGAGACATAAAACTCATCCATTTTTCAGTGCACTGTTACTTTTCAAACAAAATGTCTTTGGACAGGGCAGAAAATAAAAAAAAACGAGAATTCAAACAACGCTGGCAATTAATACTTGCTGCAGATTAATTCTCCCCCGAGTTGGGTCATATTAAGAAACCTTCGTAAACTAAACTGACACCCTAAAGTAAACATATATTTTTCCTAATAACAACAGAAAGTGATATTCATTTGGCGGCCCGCGGATATCGAAAAAAAGAGACAACGTTGACCGATTTTCAAGACACTGCAGTTAATATATAGGCCATCCTGACAACTAACTGAGACGAGGAATCGAATAGCAATAGGTCGATAGTTCAGTTGCAGAATGTATACAATACACTGAAAGAAGGTAATCTTGTTGAGTCTTGTTTTCAGACCAGAATTGTTTACTTGCCAGAATTTTCTATTTAAAATGTCCGCACTTCGGCTGGACAGATCAGTAGTCATGAACAAGGGCATAAGGTTAACTATAATCCTACGTCAAATGGCTGCCTGTTAAGTCATGTCCCATTCCACAACACCTTTAATCTCTTCTTCCGCACCAGCCTAACAAGTCTCCATGCAGTGTTCAATCTCTTCACCAGTACCTTCCGAAGACGCTCTTTGTTTTTGGTGGACTATTCTTACCAAAAGGAAGAAGTATCATAATGGGAATTTTGTCATTGTAATCTTGATTGAATGCGGTCTTGCATCGGTGGGTCTAAACGTTATTAAAATGTATTTAGCTCAGATCGCGATTGTCGACAAAGCCATATCAATCTGAGCTGAAATTCAGTTCTGACAGCAGGAAATTTGTCTGCTGTTCTCTGCTGCTTCAAAGAACGTATTAAACTCGCCACGGCAAGTGTGTTGCACGGAGTTATAAAAACACCGCTCACTTACATAGAGGTCTGTGATTTGCTACGATCTTTTGAATGAAGACAGCCACGGAATTTGATTTTATTTCTTTACTTTCGTACATAAACTTGGCATTTATATGTCAAACATTGTGTTCATTGGACATTCATTTTGGAGGATTAGGTATTCATTGACTTCAAGATTACTATAATCAGTTATTTTGTCTTGAAAGAGTGCTCAGGAAAAACTGCCTTCGACTGGAGGCGAAGTAGGGATGAATTGTAGTTTCTAGTAGAGTTTAGAAGAAAAAAGAGTTGCCACAAATACACGTCCTTTTCATTCACTGTTACTATGGATACCAAAAGATGGGATACCACTTCCCGGCCACATGTTCCAATTATTCTCTAAGTGACGTAAAGGCAATATTATTCCGGCAGCGTAATAAAACTGAAGCTTTTGTATGGGGAATCTAAAGCGAATCAGTTCTGCTGGTCAATTGAAATTTTTTATCAACTGAATGATTTTTGACAGCAGATTACTAGTTTCTTTTTCTTTCTTTTTCAGTGTTCCCTTATTTCTGAGAAATAAACCTCATGGCGTATAGATTATTATTTCTTAGAAAGATTCGACTTCTCCAGAGTGTGTACCGATCGTGAGGACTGCTTATTTAAAAGACTTGTACATTATTTATTGAGATTTTTCTCCTTAATCTCTCTGAAAGAATCCATTTACGAGATGTGTTCGCAACTTTTGATCCGCATTGAAACACGCGGTATTAAAACGACATCCACTGGGGCTGATATCATTAACAAATTACAAAAAAGAACCATGCAGCTCAACTAGATCATTAATGAAGGAGTGGAGCCTAGCACGTTTTTGTTAACGCCAGCATTCTCAAACTGGGGTATCTTTCAGACTCATTGGTATAACTCAATACCATGTGCTTTTGCAAAAAGACAAAGAAACAGTAGTAGAAAATTATCCAGCCAATCTGGGAATAAAGTAATAGTTTTACTGATTTGTTGCTTCACTGGACGTTTTGCTTGTGACGACAAGCGTCAACTTATTGTTCTTGTGGACAATGGCTTTGAATTCGCTGTACATTAGCGAAACAGCTTTAAATGAGCTAATTGAATTCTTTTATGGGGGCTTCATTATGAAACCCTCGATATTTCCGCATCTGGTGTACTTAACTAGGAATAAAAACCAATCGTTTCAGTAATACTAGACTACAAACAACTCAGCTTTGAAGCTGTGAAAGGAAGGCTTGGCAACTTTTCAAAGATGGTCTCGTCTACCATCTCGACCCTAATTAAGATACATTTTAAAAGGATTAACTGCCATGGCTGAATATAACTGTCCAAACACAACATTTGTACCGTTTGTCAAAGCGTGAATGACGTACGCTACCTAAATTACCTCCAATTGTTATCTTCAAAGAGGTGTACAAGTCAGAGAAATCACGATCATTTCTTCTTGTTTTGCAGGCGAAAGAACACCTACTTAACCAAGTTCGTTCTGTACTCAGCTGTCTGTGGCTCAAGAAAATTATTGTGCTACCATTGTAAGGATATTCATAGTGGTGGACATTGTTATTCACCTTACTATATTTTGACGTTGTCTGGAGTGTCACCTTGGCATTTACATAGTGAACTGAAAACGAGCTCTATCTGTCGCTAATTCCACTCATCCGAGGCAACATTACAATTCAACGACTCAACTATTCTTAGGTTAGAAAAGGAACAGTTTGTCGAGATAGCTGCCTTTTGGGTGAAGGCACGACTTTTTGAACAGCAATTCAAATCCTATTATTCGAGAAACCAGGCAAACTGATTGATATTGGAGGTTACTTGACCGAAAAGCCAGTTCTGTAACTATGAACAACTCAGCGGAAGCAACTAGCAAACCTTCCCTTGAGGAGGCATGTAACGAGCCAACTCAACGCGACTTCATCCTGCAAACGGCTTTCCTCATATTTATAATGTTATTGACATTTTTTGGAAACTTCATGGTTTGCCTTATTGTGTACCTTAATCGGCGGCTTCGCTCAGTAACCAACTACTTCATCGTGTCTCTGGCCGTGTCGGACCTGTTGATTTCCTTGCTGTCTTTGCCTTTTCGGATCAGACAGACTCTGCAGAACGGTGTCTGGTGCCTCGGCCACGAGATCTGTTTGACCTGGATAATAACAGATCTCATCTGCAGCTGTGCGTCCATTTGTAATCTGGCGGCGATCTCCGTGGATCGCTACATCGCTATTGTCCACCCATTCCGTTATCACACACTGATGACTACCACAGTGGCGTGGGTAATAATTGGAATTGTGTGGACGTACTCAATAACTTGGGCGGCGCTCTCCTCGTTTAACTGGACCGAGAAAGGTGCACCTCATTTCTTTACAGTGGGCGTCTGCAAGAAAACTGACAAAATATTTTACACTGTTGTTACTGCCATGGACTTTTTTCTGCCTCTTCTCATTGTCCTTGTCATGTATGGGCTTGTCTTTCGTGTGGCAATGAATCAAGCTCGAGCAGTGGCATCGCTGCAGCCACAGACTGCCAGTTCAAAAGCTGATGGCCGTAGCAGGAGATTTTCCATAAATATTGTCAGAGAAGTAAAGGCTGCAAAAACCTTGGCCATTGTCATTGGAGCTTTCATCATCTGCTGGTTTCCTTTTTTCACATTTCTGATGGTAAGCTTGTGGAATATACGGCTGCTTCAACCTCCACAACTCTCCGAACAAGCCATCAAAGGTTTGCGCGGTACCTTTTTGTATGTTTTGCCAGCAATTAACAGCACCTTGAACCCTATCATTTACGCCTTGTTTAACAGGGATTTCAGAGCTGCCTTCATTCGATTGTTCCAAAGAACTTGTGGTTGTCAATGTACCAGCAACTCAGCAAATAACAACGATTCGTTTCAGCATAGTATGGCTACAGTTACAACAAATGGAAGTCCTAAAAGCCCGAAAAGCCCGAAAAGTCCGAAAAACAAGAAGAATGGACACGTAAAGAAGACAAAATTTGCAGAAGTGTATGGTGAGCGCGATTTTGCGAGTTCAAACGAACCGAAGCAGGTTTAACAACACTGCATGGCTGCGCCTACGTGTGACTCTATTTCAATTCATGTCCAAAATAGTCACAACAAAATAGGGAACATCGAGCACTGACAAATAATATCGAGAAAACACACTGAGAAGCTAAACTCAAGTCTCCGAAAAAGACAAAGGTAACTGTATTATAGCGCTATTCACCGGGATCCACGGGAACTTTCCATGCACTGAAACATCGATTCATAGCGTGTTTACACGAACAGCGT